ACTTTAAAAGTTTCTGACGCGTTGTTTTATCAGTATTTTGTCTAAATTTTTGGCAAATTAGTTCTGAGAAGTCTCGAGGGAGAAAAATCATAATGTGGTGAAGAATTCTTTTGAAATGGGCCATATGCTATTAATGTTGTATTTATGATAGGGTGGATCGTGGATGAGGTAAAGGGCCCCCAATTCTCCTATCCCCCCACTTGGACTTGCGCTGTCAGGCCCATTATCTTTTTCGGTGACATGACATTTATGCGCGTTAAAGGGTGTGGTTTGAAAGCAACTATGTTGAGGCTGTCTGCTTACAACAACCTTTCTTGTTTCTTTCTCAATGCCCATATAATGACCTAATTGAACCCTGCTTTTGAGGGGAAAAAAAAATTGTACTGTGTGACCATTTGATTCTCAGTCTCTTGGACAACATTTTGGATAACTCCATCGAAGTGCTATTCCTTTTTCTTTTCTTTTGTAATACTTCGAAATACAATCGCTCTTTTTTCTCTGAGTCTATAAGCGAGTCGAACTCGAGCTTTTATCGAGCCGAGTTCAGCCGAGTTTGGTAAGCTAATGAGCAACTAAATGAACCGGAGCTCCTTTCATTACTGAATCGAGTTATGCTAAAAGTTTAAGATGTTAAGCAAAAGTTAACTAAACTAGGTCTTAAACGGGATTTAACGAGTTAGAGTCGAGTGTCTATCAACGATTGGAGTCATCCATAACTTTATGTACTGACATATGTTCGATGTGCAGTTATTGTTGGATATGTGTCAATACATCATTTGTGAATAACAGCCGAACCATCCGAATTAAATATGGAACTAAACGAAATCGGTGTAGGTGGAGAACAGTGAATCCTTTTTTGGCGTATATAATTGTTAATCAATAGCTAGCATGCCAAAAAAAAAAAAAGGTTNGTATAACAAAATTGATTGTCAAAAAAAATCCTTATGAAAACGGTCTGTTATGAATTAAAAGCAAAAGGTCCTCTGTCCTCTTGCTGTTTATAACAATGTCGTCCTCCAATAATAAGGATATTTTGGCCGAGGATCCAGCTGAGTCCTGAGTGTTATAGGTCTTTAATCTTTTTGCTTGGCGTAAAAAATGAAAAGTGTTCACCCAACATATATATATGTCAAAAAATAGTAGTAATCCATAAGTTGAACATTAAAATAAAGGGAGATGTCACGGTCTCGTTACGGAACCATCCATCGGGGTTGTAATCATTAGATCAACTATTCCCGACAGGTAGATCATGATCCAACGGTTACAAATCCCAACAGAATAATCTCGTAACAGGACCGTAGCATTTTCTAAAATTAAATTATTATTAATGATTATTATCATTACGTAATTTGGATGCAAGGCTTCATTTCCACGTTACCTAATCTCTCTTTATCCCAAAAAATAAAAATAAAATAAAATAAAATTAATTAGCAATCTAATCTAACTATAGTGAAACGGACCCCTGGGAGAATATTTAACTATTTATTTCGTAATAATTGTCCAAAAAAGGTGGAATTATATATCTCATCCCAATCAATTAATTAGTTTTGTGTATTCTAAATTAATTAATTTTGCACCTTCCATTTGACTGCAATTTTTTAAATCACTTAATCAGCTGTGTTTGTTAATTAGAAGAAGCCAATTGATATCGTCCACAATAAATGGAGTCTTAATTAACACAAAAGGAAAATGAAATCATTTGTGTTCATTGGTTCTTAGCCCATGCCAGATAATTTTTAAAGTACTTTTTTTTTTTTTTTTTCCCTT